ATAATAATAATAATAATAAACATTGTTGGGAGGAAGAAAGAATGGACTAAGGCCAGGTTCACACCATTTTCCAGATCTGGAACATTCTTTTTGCCACATTTTTATCACCACATTTCATGTTAAACCCTGAATACTCTAGGAACAATAAGAAAAAGGAAATGTCATGATTTCCAACATCCTCACCCAGCTTCCAGTAGTGTCACTTATTCCTGGGAAAGCTGGGGATCCCAGGCCTCACCAGAATGCCCTCCTATTTTTTTTATTGGTTATTTGTTTCGTACTTTCTTGAAATGGTCCGCTTGAAGAGACTGATAAATAAGAGTCACTATTAGCTCATAACTAAGAATGCATCTGTCTGTTTATTGAAACACGCACATACATTATATACTATGATCTAAACTCTAAAGGACACGAAGATTTATCAGTGAGATTTCCCATGACCTCAAAACTTTCAGTTTATCACAGACTTCAGTTATTTACCATGATGTATGGCAAGCCAAGTTTATGTTGGCTTGTCGGTCCTTGCTCTCCCTGGATTTCATCCTAACTGCAAAAGAACGTACTGCAATCATAACTGCCACCAGTCACCGCCATGATCTCTATCTAGCAAATATGAAGACAAATGAAGTATGAAACTCACATCTCAGGTGTTCTATCGAAAGCTCCAGCTCGTCGAAATCTCCAACTACCTCACTGCCGGGTACTTGCAAGTTGGAGATTTCGACCAGACAGCGTTAGAGTGCAAAACACAAAGACTGACGGAGCTCTGTACAGCTGCACGTTAACCATATTAGGGCTGCAACAACTAATCGACATAATCGATTATAATCGATTATTGAAAAAGTTGTCAACTTTTTCAATAATCGATTAATCGGCTTCCGATCAGTTGGCCCTGTTCACGGGTCCACAAACGCGCGCCGCACCTCCTCCCCAACTCACGCTCACCGCTGCCAGACCCGCCCGCATCTGCGCTCTACACACCGCACCTCCTTCCCGCCTCACACTCTCCGCCCGCCCACATCCACGATTGGCACAGGAATATAAAAACATACACATTTTGTATATTTCCATACACATATACATGCACACACATATATTTATATTATGTATGCACACTGCAAAAATACAATTATATATGTATTTACATATGTGATATTAAAGGCGTATACCAAATTAAGAATGCAAAAAAAAAAACAAAAGAAGAAGAGGATGTGAATCTTAAAATGCATAAAATGTATTTAACATGCAAGGGTTTATACACCTCCTCCTAGCATAGCGGTATAAAACAAACTCTATGTATATGTAATAACAGTTATACATATTAAGGTTCATAAGTTAATTCAGAGGGATCACCTATAAATAAAATAGACCTGCCGGTTTCTCTACAGCCCAGTGCTAGCTAGACCAGTTTACTCCCATGTACCATCAACTCCACATTGATGACAGTTATGTATTCAAATAGCAGGCAAGGCAGATGACAACGCATGCAGTAACAAAGTATATAAAAATAGTTTTGTTTTTTTAATTAAAGGTTATCCTATTAAGCCATTTTAAAAGGGAAGTGTTCAACAGAGCTGCATTGGAGACAGGGGTGTCGATCAAGTCAAGGACATAAGAGGGGAGTGCACTGAAATGCAAGCCACTTACCGTCTGGGATCTGCCGGCTTGGAATTTTAAATAGGATTTTTTTTTTCTTGGGCTGAATTGAGTGGGATAGCCCTCCGCCCCTGCCTGTGTTTAACACATCTGTGATGCCTCAGTGTGTTGGAAGAAGCAGGACTGTGCTGGCGCAGATGGACTGCAGATGTGTTGTCAAACTGAATTATCCCCCCCCTCCTTCCTCTCCTCCTGGAGGAGAGACACCCCCTCCTCCTGACTATAGCTGCCTTGCGCTCTCCCTCTCTCCAGCTCTGTTACTAGGGCTTCCTGCATGTCTATGTCACTAGATATACACCTACTGCTGGCTCAGAGCCAATAGGACTGGAAGTCCTTAATGTACCCAGGGCTTGTGCATGGCTGGGTGTACCAGCGGGGACGTCTCCAAGCCAAGAGCGAGGCACAGGGGGGGGTGGGAGAGAGAAGGCCGTAAGGCTGCCATTCCTTGTACAGCTTGGGAAATATTGATTTGTCTGGATCGCTAAAGATAGCCGTACACGGCAAGAAATTTAAGATATTATGTGACAATACGGCGGTTGCATGACCGCTCTGTTGGAAGGTAATCTAGAAGATATGTTGTCCGCACACCACTTTGCTTCGGAATATCATCTTAATTCGTATTCCTTTAGCATGACATGTGAATGCAACGTTTTGGAACCTCACAGGACCCCTTCGTCAGGCAAAGCCTTGGACTTTGAAACATTGCATTCACACGTCATGCTAAAGGAATACATATAAACATGATATTCCGAAGCAGAATGGTGTGCGGACAACATATCTTTTAGATTGTATACTGAGGCGCCATCCAGCAGTCCTTCCAGCACCTGTTGGATTCTGAGGTATAATGGTATGGTGTGCGAAGGGGCTATTACAAAAGGCATATGTTCTGTTGAAGGGACACGGTCAAGAAGAAAAACACATGTGTGAGAAGCTCCCAACGTATGTAGACATTATCCGACTCACACAATATGTACTAGATCCAGGGTATGGATAGGGTCAGCTTTACCATCATGGAATAGTATTGGAAGCATGAAATGGTATGGCTGCTCCTCTCGAAAACCTGTACCAAACCTGGGTAATTCAGACTGGACATACAAAAAAAAAAAGAGAGAAGCAGAGGTTACCTTGAGTGAAAGCTTAAAAGGAGAACTATGGGGTTAAGACTTTTCCGTAGTTCTCCTTAGGGTAACGGGAGGACACAAACTAGCGTGCTCCCGTCACCCAAGGCTCAGTATACCGCGAGCTGAAGCGGATCCCAACAATTATGCCGGGATCCGCCCAGCTGCGTGACTGACAGCTAGCTTTGCCTATCTAGAGGCAGAGCCAGCTGTACCCGCCCCCTCCCCGTCCGTTCCGCCAGTCAGCGGCAGAGAGCCGTGACAGGATCGAGAGGTGAGCAAACACTGGTATGTGTTCGCTCCCCTAGTGATCTACTGAGCCGACCTGTGACAGTCTCATTGTCACAGGTCGGCTAGAACTATGAGGTGAGTGAAAAGCACTCACCTCATAGTTCTCCTTTAATAACAAGGCAATCAGAAGATCCAAAGATATAGCCTGATTAAGTTATATGGATATCTGGTAAACGTGAGCTAGGCTCTGCCGTTCTCCACACCATCACATAAATAGGTCAACAGGCTAGGGCTGGGTGAAGCTTGACTTTACATGAAAAGTCAAGATTTGCATATAACATTACCGTCTATAATTAGATCTGCTGGACTATCCAATGTGCATTTTTTTTACCAGCTTTTGCTTGAGCATTTTTTAATTGCATGCTTAGCTTGAGTTTGAGCTTGGGTCTGGTTTACTTTACTGGGAGATCTTTGACCCACTATTTAAAAACACACCCAGGTTCTTCATTTTTAGTAAAATGACCATACGGACTGAACAAACAACAATTTCCATCTTGCCTGAACTGTTACCATCTTTTGGTCACATCTTTGCACACATATATGAAGTCCAATGGTCATCTAAAACATTTAAGGTTACCTGAATCGCATAACAATTTGCCAACCAAGAACAGTGAATGCTGAAGGATCCTCAGACAAGAGGTAGAGGTGCCACAGAGTCACAGTTGGCAGACTATATTCATCTTGCCGTTCTGGCACACGGCATGAAGCAAAGTCCTCACCAAATACTCGTGTGTACATTGGCATTTAGATTAATATGGTTGGTAAAGGTTTTGGTGGACTTTGTGACCATGTTCTTCCAAACATTTGGTAGTTTAAAAAAACCTTTTTAGAGATATGTGTACAAACCAAAAAGAGGGACAACTGAGGAGGAAAAAAGGACAGACGTATTTGGTTTCAAATGAGGGACAGTTGGGAGGTAAGAGGGACAATTGGCCGGTATAAGGGACAATTGGGAGGTAGAAGGGACAGTATGCCCCAATAAGAATCTGTCACTCATTACTAGTAACCTTCTAGCATTGTGCAGACCATGGCACACGCAGTAATGTGGTCTGCGCCAGTATTAAACTCAGAAGGAAATTATGATGTCACCGAGCCACGAGGAACAAAGTAATCCCATATGACTTCCTCTTACTTGCCATCACCATCTGGAATCTGGAGTTTAACCCCTCTAATCCCTCTCCCATTCTGGGCTGGACCGGGCCCAAGAAATACATTCTGGCAGGGTAATTTGACCGAGTATTATTCTCCTGTGACCAATGATACACTTCTTACAGTCTGCAGAAACCTTTCAATTCCATATGCAGCTGCAGTCATGTCACCTCTATGTTCTTTGGACCCGAGCAGAACTAAGAAAATCAACAGGCTTCTAGTCTGCAGTTATGTCACTGGCAAAACAAACCGAGTTATGTAATGAAACAAAGAGGTTTATTATGACAGATGCTGCCCGTATTGTTATTTCAGTGTTCAACTTAAAGCTGAACTCTGGCCTTCCCTTCAGTCTTGCACAGTTGTACCGGCTCCTCTCCTGGCCTGAAAATAGTTTTCTCTGATTTCACTGCACACTGTGAGCTTCTCAATGTGCATTAGAAGCTGCAGCAAGTCAGAGCGCCCGCCTCATTTCCTGGCTGGAGGACATCCTGCATTATGTTGCCTAGTTCTATTCCACTCCTAATAACCATATCCATCGAGAAGTTTGTAAACTTACCTACTGAAGATGGCCATAGGTTGTACTTCATCAAAAGCTCTGACACAATTTCACTCAGCCCTTTGAATATGCACTTCCTTGTGTCACCTCTCTCACAGAGTCTGCCGCAACATCTGAACATTGTAACCTCATCATTGCTTGCTAGAAGCAATGCATGATGGGTTATGTAACCTTGCGAAAAGAAATGGAGATCCAGGAACTTGATGAAAGTGATGGGCAGACGGAAGGCAACACTCACTACATAAAAAGGTTTTTTTTTCAAGAAAGTTCTGATTGTATTATCCAAAAAAACTCTAGTGTGTATTCCTATTACAATGCTGATGTTATAACAGGATAGTATATGCCGGGACTTTAAAACTCCTTTGACTTTACCAGGTTAGTTTTAGGCCTGTGGTAGTTTAAGGGCCTGTTTTTGCTATAAGCCTGTGGTAGTTTGAGGGCCTGTTCACGCCATAGGCCTGTGGTAGTTTGAGGGCCTGTTCACACTATAGTAAGTATTCCTATTACAATTCTCATGTTATAACAGGATAGCTTATGCCAGGGGCAGCCAAACTCCAGCCCTCCAGCTATGATGAAACTACAAGTCCCACATATTGGTTCTAGGCTTGATTTACATCAGGGGTTGGCAACCTTGGCACTCCAGCTGTTGTAGGACTACAAGAGCCATTGCAAGACTGAAAGCTAAAAGCATGACTCCCAGGGGCAAATGCATGATGGTATTTGTAGTCTCGCCACAGCTGGAGGGCCGAAGTTTGGCCACGCCTGGTATACGCTGTGCCTTTAGGACTCCTTTTATTTACAGGAATAATAACTATGCAAATGTTTTATATATAGACCCCCTACGCGTCTAGTTTGGTGTTCTTGACACTAAACACATAGAATTGAGGTCTACAGCATCTCGATACAACCCGTAATTGTTCCCCCTGCAGAACAGAGTGAGGTCTGCCTGCATTCCATAAGTCCGGCCTATGGCTCCAGGAAGTCTGATGGAGCCTGAGCTGCTTGGAGCTATTCATTTCACAAGGAAGTGAGACACCCACCTCTATTACACAGCGTGTCATTACAGCATAGCCTGGAGGGCAGAGTTGGGGGAGGGGAGCGAGGGGGGGTCCCTACTATGTGTGCACTGGACTTTGTATCAGCATGGACTCTCTGGGTTGTTTATAAACTCCACAAAGTGCCTTTCCATGTGTGTAAACAAAGATGTCATTCCACCAGAGGAATATAACCCAGTCAAATTGAGCTCAGGAATGTTTTGCTGTGTGCAGAGCCGATACATAATTAATATGCGGTGCGTTATCACAAATGAGGAGCTCGCTACGCTTTTCACCGCTAAAAGGCAGTGGAATAGAGCGGTGAGATCGATCGAGTAGGGGATGAGAGACGGGAGAGAAGCAACCTTCAAGATTTGAGAGGAGAAATGTAGTTTTATAATACCGATCATAATACCCAAACAGTGACTGCATACCGGCAGCGCGGTCCCAACGCAAGAAAAGCCAATTTGCTTTGTTACAGATGGTGCCCATTCAGACCGCCAAGCTGCGGCAGGAACACGGTAGTGTGCACTGAATAAAAAGTAAGGCTTTAAGCCTGTGACACACTGCACGCGACGCCGCGAGGAGCAAAAGCGAAGGCTGCGAGGCGCGGACATTCGCATTCAGTGTGCGAGAGCTCGAGTAGCTGAGCAGGCGAGATGAAAGACTTCATCTTCAGCCAATCGGCTCACGTGTAGGAACTCAATGGGGTTCGCATCCTGATGCACGGGTTTATACACGCAAGCCGATTGGCTGAAAACCAAATAGGAAATTGCAAGACACTGCACGTGCTGCCGCTTCCCTGCTTCACGTGCAGTGCGTCACGTCATACATTTTTTTCAACACAGCGGGATGCGAGGTGGTACAACCTCCTCGCACATCGCTGTGGCCCTAGAACTGAATAGAATGTCACTTGTAATATTTCAATAAAGTTCTAACATCGCTGTGATCAGTTTTTCGGCACTGCACACCAGACATTGTGCGATTAGAGCAGCGTCTGGTGTGAATGAGACCTTAATGGTCGCAGCCAGTGTTTGGCCAACGTTTTTCCCCCTGGATCCTTCGACAAAATTCAATTGAAATATCAACTTTTGCCAAGTCAGGTGGTGCCAGCTAGGTTACCCTCGGCTCGATTTACACCGAGTCTGACCAAATTTCGAGCAGTGTATGGCCAGCTTATGTGGTTCCTTCCTCCAACCTCCATCCCATTACTGTGCCCTGTAGTGATGTGGAACCTCTGAGCACTGTAAGATTTC